TGTCAGTTTGTCACGAAATCCATAGCACGTGAAGAAGAGCATGGAAAGATCGGGTCATGGTGGGGATGGGTAGAGCATGGGACAGAACCCTAGTAGCACCCACGACCCATGGTAAGCCCCGCCCACAGTGGGCGGGCGCGCCTCGAAAGTTAGCGATGCCACTGAAAGTCGGTTCAGGCTCAGTCCGAGATGAGGGAACAGTAGCAGTGAAGTTACGAAGCTGGCCGACCAAACAGAGGAAACGCACCCGAAATGGGAGGGGTGTGCTTGAGATGGGCGGCGCTTTCCATGTCACTGAAAAACACCATAACTTGGCTGCAAAGCAGCCTCGGAGACTGGATAAAAGTGGAATGGTTGGCACACCAAATGGAGGAGAGACACCCGAAATGGGCGGGGCGTACTTGAGATGGGCGGCGCTTCCCACAAAGGTCGGTAACTCGGTCCCCGAAAATGTTTAGAGATCGCAGAAAAGTCCATGACGAAGATGAACGTCTGGCAAGAGTCCACCATGTTTGCGGCGTGCTGAGGCCCGCCCACAGTGGGCGGGGCGTGCATTTGAGCACGAGGAACAGTATAAAAAGTCGTAGTTTGGTCCTAAATCACTGCAGATGGTGCCAAAAAGTGGATTATGGTCCCCAAGTGATCAAATGTAAGAATGTGCGAGGCACTCCCGTTGTGGGCGGGGCGTGCCCCGAGGTGGGTGGAGCCAAATTAAGAAATTCGTAAAACGGTTCCAGGGCACTACAGACACCGGGAAAAGTGAGTTTACGACCAGCGAGAGATTATAAGTTGATGAGCGCGAGGCATATGTCTTGGGCGGGGCGTGCGTCTAGATGGGGGAGGGGGTTGGTCCTAAAATTCTTCCAAGGTTTCCAGAGCACTCCTGGCACTGCAGACCTCCTCTGTGACCGGGCCTTGCAGGGCATGGCTCCATCGCGCCTACCTGCATTCGCATGATCAAATGCTCGACTAATACCCGGCTTTCTCTCCACTCGCTCCTTACACCATTCCATACACCGTAATAGTGTTGAAAATGTGGAATATGAACATGCTATTGGTCAAAAAATGTTGACCATCTGTTTAAATAAAAGAAAAGCCGGATACTAGGTGCGTATTGAAATGTGTGGAAGAAGATAAGCGCGGCGCAGCCGCGCCCGCTCTGCGAAGCCGTGCTGTATCTCAGAAAGAGGCACGCCGGCGTCAGCGAAGCCGACTGGTTACTCTTTAAAGAGTTAACTAAGCATTATACGTGGGCATCTTTCCGTCAAAATCGACCAGAGATAATAAATAACGATTTAGTATCTCAGAGTACCAGCACTAAAATCGTGAGCATCTCTGTTATGTTTTTTCGACGTAAAATGCACTTGATAAGTTTTCTCGCAACGGAATTGTTTCAACTTTCTCTAGAACTTTCAATGGAGACCTGGGTACGTCGATAGAGTGTAGAATCCTGATTAATGATATTGTCAGATCCTTGATTAAATATCTATATTCCTGATTTTCTGTAATTCTCCTGAGTTTAGTCGGCATGCAGATGCATATTTGTTAATGGTATTTATTTATCTTGATGTGTTCTGATTAAATTATCGTGATTTGCTCGTTTCATCTTACTTTTGCTTTGTCTTATTTTTGACTTATCTACTCAACATATTCTGTTGCTTATATTTGATTCTTTTGATCATGTATATTCTTTTATTCAATTTCTGTTTTTCTCATTTGTTTGTGTCTATTTTTTTTTCTATTATATGTCTTACTTTAGTCGTTGTGTCTGTGTCTTATATATATCGTATGGTATCCCCCCCCCCCCCCGACCCCTTCCACAGCTGCCTGCCCCACCAGTGGAATCCAAATATTCAAGGCTAGGGAAAGATAGATATCGCTCTACATAGGCTCTCTTTCCCCACCCCCTTAAAGACAGCTCCCGCGATAAAAGTGTCAAGGATAATTGCTGATCAATTATGAAACAGTAGCTGATAAGTAATTCCTCAATGAAGGAAAAAAGCAACAAGAGCCCTCAAGAACACCATAAACACCATAAACAAAATCGCGCCCTAACAGTCACACCTCTCCTTCCGCGGGTCTCATGTGCAAGCCGTGGCTCACAGATCACTTTGTCATAACAGTCTCCCAGTAGTGGAATGACATCCTTCAATCAACAATACGAAGTTTGAACCACACCCACTAGTCACCTTAGACCGCACGCGTAAGGAACTCTTGAAAGAAAAGGAAACATTTAAAAAGCCGGCGTCCGAACTTGGGGTTACGGTAGCGAGCACGTTTTAGTGTAGTGAAGTGCGTCGAGCTTTTGCACCACAGAAATTGCATCATTCGTGATTTTTACGCGTTTTACGCTACGAGATGTTGGCCAGTTGACTGTATATGCTCCCAATGAATAAAATGTGATCAAGGAGAGCAGAATTATTTATGAGCACGAGCGCGGTCAGCAAAAAGGACATGCAATTTCGATTAGTGCCCGCCGCCCCAACAAAGAACAACTGTGTTGCCCTCAGCGGAGGGTAATCTAGCAGTGAGGCCGGTCGCAAACTGAGCAAGGCGTTAGAACTAGAACTTTGAGCGGTTGTAGCTCGCTCCTCGCTCGCTGAGGAGTCGCGAGAGTGGGATAGTATCTAGCTTGGGGGCTGAACTACCTGCACAAGGAAGGACGACCATGTCTACTTGAGCGCGGGGGCTGTCTTTAAGTTCACACGTGTTTCGCTGCTTATTTTGAAAAACCGACGCACATCGACGATTTGTGCACGTCAGCGCAAAATCGGCGCGTGGCAGATTACGATTGTCTTGTCCACCACCCAGTTATTACCACTGTTGTTAAGGACACCGCTCAAGATCGCTGGGTGGGTGGAGTTAGGGAATGACGTAAGCAAGCTTTTCCCCCTTCTACGGCAGTGAAGAAGGCGGGAAGAAGGCGGGAAGAATAGGGGAACGCACCCACTACATCCTTCCGTTGCTCTGCCCACTCGGCTATCGCGACGGTGTTTCAAAAGGAATACGATTGAACATAACAGAAACTTATCATCTTACCTGTGAACATGCTTCGGCGGTGAGCAGTACATAATGGCATAGTTGATAAGGGCGTTAGACAGAAGATGTTTGGACGCCCTGAAACAAAACTATGCAATTTCACACTCCGAAACCTCACTGCAGCAGACCAAGGCGGACAGAGAGCGACACACGTACAGTGTAGTAGTGTGAAGATCATCGTTGATCCCACTTTGAGCCCAGTTCGATAGGAAAGGCTGCTATTTATCACAGCGGATATGTGAGCAATTGGAGGTTTTCATAATTGCTTTCTTCCAGTCAACAGATGACTACTGATTCCCTCCTTGAAAGTTCTTTGACTGTTCTCCAAGGAAATCTATGCTCTTCTTCGCGCGTTCCAATGATTACATCTGCTGATAACGCGCGCCACAGAAACACTCAGGGTAAAACTCCAACTGATAAAAGAGTTATGCGATACAATGTGTAGCCATAACCGCCATAAGGAAATAGCACGTACCGTCCGAAACAGAAAAAACAGAACATAACACCAATTAATAATGGGAAAACGGTACGCGTTTGACGCGTGACGACACCTGGAGCACAGAAACGTTTGAATACGTACGCTAATGGTAGTGATGAAAACATGCATAGCACGAAATTGATCTGAAACACATAGAAAACCAAAGATGTGGGATAAGTAATCAGATTAAAATAGCTTCGCGATAACAACACATTACCTACCCTATCCACTTGAACCCCAAAGTATGTGGCAATCGGTTGCAGCATTGTAGCCCCATCATAAAACGTGTGCGGGCCAGGCATTTCGACGCCTTGATCTCTGAAATGACCTCTTCGTATTTCGGAAACTTCCATCATTGAGAAAAAACAGCAAGGTGGATACGAATCAAAAGGGGAAGAAACATCACAACAAAGTTATGGACAAAGGAATTAGATCCGCGGTGAAATATCTGGATGGGTGAAATCGCAGAATCACTAAGGATACGTCCTGTCATTTGGAAAAGTTGTCTGTAGCGACGTGAAACGGGAAAAACCGAGAAAATTCAACAGGCGAACATTTTTCATCGACGGCAATACGACCTCCATTCCTCCAGCGACCAAACACGATCCCCCTCGCTGGGTATACCCAACGTACGACACGTTCTAGTTCAATAGGGCCTCCTCACAGAATAAGATCTCGCACTTCCTCGCAACCTACGTGCAGCCTAGCAAGTTTTCACAAAATTCAGCTGTCAAACCGAGGCGAGGGGGGGGGAACGCGAAGCAGGG